TATGTTAGACAAACATAAAGATGCTAGTGATATTTATCTAAACAGTTGATCCTACGTATAATTAGACACGATGAAATGAAAATATAAATTATTTCATTTGACAACGCAGCGGTCGCAAGTGCTTGCAATAAGATTTAATGGAAGGTTTCACAACATTTCAAGATTGCTCATTAGTAGAAATAATAGAAAAATTAATTTACTTTCACCCCAGTTCAGAAAAGTACAAACACTACATTGTTCGATTGATTCATGTAGTTTGGTATCGGTTTTATTAATCAATAAAATACTAGAAAGCACATGGTTCTCACTGTTAATAGTTACATTCAAAACTGATATGGTTTGGTATTCCGAGTAGCATTAAATTTAATGAAATAGGTGACGTTTTCAATAACAGAATGCACAGGCATACCATTTGTTTATATTTTGACGCACACAGATAAGTCATAAAAATTTCACGGAAGATGTTATTTTCCTGGTTTAAAATATGTTATTCTCATTACTACATGGCACTCCTGGTTAACCGGTGACCTAATAAGAACCGTTGGTGGGTTATCTTAGTTACCAGGCTATGAAAGCTGATATATATTAACTGGTTGCAGGAACGTTGGTAAGTACAGGAAAGTTTAGGTCTGTAACATACTTGTTTAACTATTTGCTTTTAATAAACTCTTTATGGTATTGTGATGTAGCACAAGAAACTTATGTAGAGAGATGATGAATGCAAGGAACCTGAACATTCAAATTGAGAAAAATTTCATGTTTCTTTACTTCAACTTTAATACTAATTCCCCGACCATTTCCTTTAAATATACTATAATCCGAACACACTAATAATCATCGAAATACAGAAACTTTGAAATCTTTGCACGATCTCATTACAGGACATGTGACCGAAGTACTATGAGCAAGTTTGCATCTGCTCTCCCTTACACGTTGTTACGTGTGAACTGTACTACAGTTTGTTGGAAAAATGAAGAGGAGTATTCTTCAGCAAATTACATTAGTGTCTGTCTTAGAAACCAACTGGTTTTGAGAAATATAGAATACCTACATATGATAGAATGTTGAAAACCGGTTAAAATACCTTCCGAGTAAAATTTTTACGATGCTATCTTTTACTGGTACAACTAGACTTCTGTTTGGTTGCTCTTAGCTTACCTGTAAATTATCTAAGATCAAGTTACGAAGACATTTCGCCAAAGGAATGAATTTGGTCGCGTCATTCATACTCAAGGTTAACTGACGAACGATCGCTTGGGGAGAAGATAACAATCTAAGTAATCTTAACACGCCAAGTCGAATCTGAGCATGATTACGGCGTAATTGAACAGTAGCAAATCGAAATAAATCAGAAACAGTAGAACTTGACTTGCTGGAAAAAATAAAAGCAAATAAAGTCGGTTATTCAAACTGCTATAATGATTTTTTTTATCACCTAAACACTAATCTTTTCGAATGAAATAATCAAAGACCATAACAAAAAGATATGTATGATTTCAGCCACTCACACACATGAATCTCAACCTCTTATCGCGATGGGTAAACTTAGCATATTTATGATATTATCATGCATTTATCTGTAATTTAAGAAGTCTGTAAACGTGAGTATGGTATAAAAATATAGCATAGAATGTGGATCAGATTAACTTGCTGCACTTATAATCAGTACAGCATAAAACTAATAGGAGTAGGATTGAAAGGGTGAAATACTGATATCAATAGTACGAAAGGAAGGTTAGAGAATGAAAGCTACAAAATAACACATGAATTATAGAGGAATAAGAATGGCATACCTTGATTTGACCATCCTTATAGGTTTTGTTATTCACTTATCTTTTAACCAGTATAGATAATCAAAGTAGACGTGGTTATGAATGCACAACACGACTGATCAATATCAGTTAGTGGAGGTCCACTGCTTAGTCCATTGCTTGCAATATACTAGTAACCATGTTCTTGTAACCTAGACATTTCTTCTACAAACGCATCACAACTCAAACTTTTGGTGTAAAAGATAGAGTCGTTGTATAATAGATTCACTTATTAATAAACAGCTGAACATTTCTCTGGTACGACGAGTGGTCCAAGCCAGGTAAATCTCTCTTATCTGTGTCAGCTACCAAGATACTATTCCAGGTGAAGCTTCCGAAATATGTGGTCAACGTTAGTTAAGTATCGACGTTGAGCATTTGTCGGAAATCCACCACAAACATTCCCACACTGTCCTCCATGGTTTTCAGAAGACTGAGTTTTCTTAGCCACTAACTGTTACTTGACACTGATCTATAGAGAAAATACGGTTTACTCAACATATTGCAATAAATCTGAGCACAAGGCACATATAATAATCAGTATTCATTTAATATTACGTTTAATTTGTGGTCAGAATAACACAAACAACATAGTTACCAGATTTAAATACTCATTGCTTACTCATAAGAAAAAAGCATTTACAGACCTACATGCTTACGGATGATAAGGTAATTTCGTGATTCTGCAATGCTTGCCTCTTTCAGATGTGATGAATGAATTACCAAAAGTCAAGAAAAAAACTAAAGGATGATTATACAGCGTAAAACGTGTAGGTATATCGAAAGGAATTTGAGGTTTTTGAAAATTTATGAATGAGTTACCGAGCTCTAGATCCAACTTAGCATTTGGAAAGTTAAAATATCGACCCATAAAAATCCTTTGCTAGGTTGACTACAGTTGAATTTTTTTTAAGGAATACAAAATCTTAAAACATCTTCACCGTTATTGAAGTTATTCGCAACTTAGTTTTTGGATTATTATGGTTAGTTACTATTTAGTCTATAGATCTTGTGTGATTATACACATAAGAACTTACTGAAAATTAACAGTAACATTTCTACTCTGTAGCTTTACTAACCAAAATTTGTTAGAAGGGATACCATCAAGGTGTAGCACAAACTAAGTAGATTGAAATATTTCAAAGTGAAGTTCTGAAAACTACTCAAATTTATATTTTTGATAAACAAGATGTTTAAATTGTCTAAGCCAAACATTATGAACGAAAAAGGATTTGTTTTATAAATGTAATAGTAAAACATCATTTAAATTGAGATCGTTAGGTATACATTAATCAAGATTACCTGCATATATTTATGGTCTCTTCAACGAGTGAACAATCAACGTTATTGGAACCAGATGTAGTAATTTTGTCAACCAAAAGCTGTAAGCGAGTTGTACCAATTTCCTTTTCTTTTGACATTTAACCTGGAAATAAATACGCATAACAGTTTGAATTGTCAAAATCCTTAGCAACACTTAATTGAAATGCTTCTAGAGAAAATATCTATAGAAACACCGAAATGATAACCTATACCTCTCACAAAATGTGACAATATTCTCCGAAGTAGATTAAGTCCATTTCGTCCAAATATAAGTGATTAAAGGGAATGTGTTAACGCTTAAAAGCAAAACAACCAGTGACCCTATATACTGACGACATAATCTTGGTTGATTTTCAGATCGTTTCCCACTTTATTGTCAACCAGAATTACTAGTTATCAAGTGTGCAGTGAACGAGAATTCAGGTGAGGATAACCAATTTATTCCTTAACACAAAATTACCAAGTTCTTTCATTAAATGTGAAAATCATACATTAAATGCTTCACTCGCAAATCTTCCATCAATCGTCCTTTACAACCTTTATGATTTTTCCATTTTACAATTTATTTGTTGTTGTTTTTTTCAGTGCAATCTTCTCAACCCTCTTTTGACAGTCATTCAAACTCTGATTGGTGCTACATACTGCTTATGTCGACAGACATAAATAGCATACACAAGTGTAAGCGCATAAAAGAAATCAAAACCTCATTTATTTCACTGGATTCAGTATGACACCTTAAGCGATAACCATCGATGTATTTCATAACTTTACTCTATAATGATACATCTGACTTCGGAAAGTCTTAAAGACTGGTTACTTCGAATGAACACTTGATGCTTAGTACGGCTATTATTCAGTTAGTCAGTCAGTAACAACGTAGAACTTCGTACGTACGTACATCAGTTAAAGTTGCCACACCACATTAGCACAGAGATGCAGATGTCGATTCAAATCCCGTAGTGGTAGAGGTAGTGAAAGTATAACCAGTAATCGGAAAGATTAGGGTTTGAAGATGTTATTCAAGCAGTATAACCCAGTGAAATAAATTTGAGAAGAGGTAAAAAAAAAGGGACATGAAGAATTCAGGAGATTAGAATTTGGGAGAACACAAAAGGTGGATGCACCTGCGCCATTGCAAACAATTTTGAGCCATGTCATTCAAGGTCTCTCACCATCGGTTGCTATCATCTCGCTGATACCAACCACGTAGTCCACACCTACCAACATGGATCAGTCCACTTGTCAGTGACTTCATGGACTTGTGTCATGTTTTGGTCTGGCCGCTCCTAGCTTTCTTCCAACCTACTCCTATACCATTGAACATCGCACGTCGAGGCAGTCGGTCGTTGGGCATACGTAACACGTGTCCCAGCCATCTCCACTGATGAGGTTTCACTACTTCATCAATTGATTTGCCATCCTTACCTAGTATCCGTTTCCTAACAACTGCATTACTTACTCGATGGTCCCAGGATATACGAGCAATGTTTCGAAGACACCTATGATCAAATACTAGTAACCTACGAATATCCTCTACTCTTACCGGCCGTGCTTCACTGCCATAAATTAGGACAGAATGAACTGCTGCGCAGTAAACCCGTCCTTTGGTTGATAGACGGATATCTTGCCTACGCCATAAATGACGCAAGTTGGTAAAAGCTAGTCGAGCCTTCTGTGTCCGTGCTGAGATTTCGTCACACACCAGACCACAAGGGCTGATGAGACTCGCAAGATAAGTCAAGCGACGGTTATCATTAGTCTTATAATATGAATTACTCTAAAGTGACAATTCACACAACCACATTAGCAAAAGCGAATGAAAGAACAAGATGGTGAAAGTATGTGTATATATATATATATTTGGAGTTATTGTTTGTTTGTTGGTTCACATTTATTCGTTGAACTAGTGTCGCTCTGTAAGTATATTAAATGGATTAACCGAACAAGATGATAGTACTTACGGATTTTCCCAACCATTCATCATTATAAGCGCTAAAATCAGGTGACTCAACAAAAGGAAAACAAAATCTGAAAAGGAATTCATGAAATAACAATAACATAAAATTACTCTCCAATTTTCATAAGCTGACCATAACGACCGACATTCAAATTTAAACAGCCACCCCTTACAGTAGTGTTACCCTGAACTAGCTGTAAAACATCACATGGAGCAATTAACGAACTATTCTCATTCCAAACAGATATATTAATCGTTCCTGTGCGATCAGCAACTTTCGCGGTCCGAACTTCATTGCCATCTTTCGTACGCGTGATAGGACCTTGTGACATAGTATGAATCGTAGTTTAAACAAGCAACAAACCCAGCTCCAAAACTATAAAAACACATGATACACGTTTCATGTTGGGTTTCAGATCTTTTAAAAAATATGACTGGTCTTTAGTTTCGCCCATATACCGGCATGTAATGAAAAATAGTTTAAAATTCTGTAAAAATAAAATTTAAAAAACGTACGTGGAATATATTGGGTATAACAAGATAAGTAAAAAGACTGACATACTGTAACCTCAAACCAAAATTGACAGGTATTATTTCGAATACGCCCTAGTAGGTTGATCTCATGTTCTCTCCCTATTATTTAAATGACAACAGGAATGATGTAGCTGTGATGAAGGTAATTTGTCTACCCGATGTTCTTAGAGCCCATCAAAACGACGTTACCTAAAGCAATTGATATTAACAGCGTCAGTAAACTAATATGTTTACTAAAATTTCTACAGGTTGCTAACAACCCACAACTTTTATTGTAAAATGAAATGAGGTCAGGTCATTTCAGGATAATTTGTGAAATTCATTCGCTTCTAAACTTTTTTAACGATGTATGAAACATCATCTTCTAGATGAACGTAGACAGGTGCTGAGTTATATCTTTATTTCAGGTGCAGAAATCCTTGAGGCCAGAGTAATACACAGTTAATACATCTTGGAAAAGGTTGTTTTACTCCATTGATTCCCTCTCGCGTTGTGTAACTGTGATACAACTTATCTATAACCCTGATAACATCCACATATTGTATAACTGAGAACATAAGTTTGGTGTGATTCACGACACGGTTTCGATATACAATCGCTATAACTATTTTGACTTGCTAGGAGTCAATAATAGAGAGTTCTTAATTTATTACAATTTGGTAACAAAGGACATGTTCGTGTACATGAGTATGAACATTCATTGTGTGGGAGTACGTGAAACTAGTAGATTGCGTAAATAGGTGGGTTTCAAACAGAGTCGTATCCTACTTCTTCAGAGCTCGGAAGTATCACCTCCAACCTTGTTTCATCTTGCTACTGCCAACTTGATTTCGCCCACTGCACCTACATCTATAAATTCTAGATTTCCAGATAATATATGACTTAATGAACAAATCATTTATTTTGTCAACGAGAACCTCACTCAATTATCAGGTTAGTAGTTCAATAGTGCATGAAATGTTTGATACGGGATTTATGCCAATTAACGACCTATTCATCCTCCGCAGATTGATGGTGGGTATCTTTAATGTACCCCCGAGCTATTAAGATAAGAGTGGCAGTTTGCGTAAAAGTGATCAGAAGTTAGATCAATACCATTTTTTAATACAGCCGCTAAGTACACGTTTGTCTACTTGAACCTGAAGTATGCTTTATGAGTGCGGGCTGGTGATATTCTTCGGTTGCCCAAACCAAAATAAAACTAGACGCTCGAACTTGCAACTTGGTATTCTTGGATCTTAGCTAGCAGCGGATTGCAGAACATATGTTTCGTCCTATTCGAATTCATGAGTGCCTACAAAGACACAAATTTCAATCCTGAACATCAACAATGGGATATTAAAAACCTTAACTGTAGTTAAAAGTTGAGTTTTGTGACCACATCTGAGAGGTTTGAAAGCAGTTTCGACCATTTAATCATGGATGCAAAATAACTGAAGGAATGATGTTACAGAAGATAAATCTAGATTATCAATTTGAGATTTAAACCTTTAGTGTGTTCTAAACTTACCACGAAGAAACCATAATATAAAGAAACGGAACATTTTGTAATCAGTTATGCAAGTTATCTAATTATTCAATGAGGAAAGGTCAGCTAATATTGAGGGAATAAAACGTGTGACCCCAAAGTGAAATTGTACCACTTATAATAATAAAAAGTCAGCTATCTTACTAGTGTCAAAATAATTAAATTCCAGTCCTATCGACGGACATTATGGAGACCAAATCATTTTAGAGATGTCTTAGTGACTACCAAATGCTTTATTTTGTTGGCCGAGAACGGGTCTTTATGCAGGAATGCAGGAATCACTATATCAAATTTTACACCACCAACAATTTGCAGTACAAACACAATCGATGTTGTATGCAGACGGGAACAAACAAAACACCATTTTCAAAGATCATGACGAACAAATTATGTGGACATTTGCGAACACAACCATTAGGAAAATAACAACTGCGAAAATTCTTTTACGGCGTGTGAATGCATTACTTCGTCTGTTTCATCATTGAGTACTTAATCTAATTGAAAACAGAATTTCTTTCAGACAGTTACTGAACCATATACGAACATCCAGAATGCAGTCAGTCATTATTAACGTAGGACCTGGAACGAATGTACTTATCTGGTGTCATACTACACGCCAGCAAAGCGAGAAAGGAAATAAATAGGATGAGAGATAGGATGGGAAACAATATCCACTATAATGGAGATCTTAACATGCAAAATACAGAACGAGGAAAAATGAAATCGAGGAATGGAGATTCAGGAATGAAACTAAACTCGATATTTAGAGAGAGATGGAGGATAAATAATACTGCGTCATTGTGACCGATTTAGAACCACGTCACTTAAAGTTTCTAATCATTTATTGAATACTGAGTGGGCATAGAACTAGAAGTCCATGGCTACCCAAATGACTTATACTGGCAGTAAGTGAATCGTTGTTATATCTCGGCCTACTTATTTACTAATTTCTCCCAACCTACTTCAGACACTTTATTTCTAGATAGTGGTGGTTGGATACACGTAACCGATGAAGGCTCGAAGTTTACTAACCAATTCGACTTTCTAATCTAATACTTTACACCTAAGCACAGCACTACTCAGTTGACAGTCCGGTCATATCCGAGCTACATTGTTAACAGATCTACGATCAAATAATTGCAGTTTAACCTTTTCAGATGCAATTTCGCACTTCAGGTTAGCAAGTTCATCTAACCGTTTAGTACAAGACGAAGGGAGTCTTCTTTTCAAGAAGACGGGGTTGATCTGATCAACCCCGTCTTCTCATTGTCCTATCGAAATTTATAAAAGGGACTAATTCTTTTAAATTGCAGTTTACCCGTCATTTATTGCCACGAGTCATCTAACAGCTGCAGATAAATGCAAAATGGACGATCTTACAGCAGACTCACTCTTTATTTGGTAAATGCGAACAGTGGGATAAATTTCCAAAAGCCTAGTGTATCCATGCTAGTGTGTACCTTATATGTACAGTGGACGAGATTAGATGACTTTTTGCCTTGTAATCGATCAGAAAGGAGCGACTCGTGGAGGTATGAACATCGACTAATTACTAATGTTGTCGTGAATGTATTTCAATACAGAGCCCAGCAAATGAAAAGTTGCAAACTGGGTTAACCTATTCGAGTAATGATTAACTTGTCCAACGGAATAGAAACAGAAAGCCCGTTAAAAAATGTCTATGAAGTTGAATAAATCAGTCCAGTCAAGGGCTTGAAATTCCACATAAGAGTCAAGAGGTGGATGCGCAGTCTAGAGTCAGTAATTATGTCAATATGTATGTTCCAGAACCTGACGAAAGGTGGATAATTTATTGACATCTATACGGCCCAATATTCATAAAACACTTGACTGAGGGTCACGGACGGCAAATCCACAGAAACCAGTTTGGTATTGAATTTATGTGGAGGTACTGTTAATATTTGAAGCAGACAAACTTACCGACTCCAGACGCTTAGCAGTTAAAATGACTTCAGTGGTTAACCAGTAATATTATAATAACGTCACTACTATATTATCATAAACTTATACAGTCAATGACATAGGCCATTCGACTGTAATGGGTTGGTTTTAATTCTCATTTGGTAAAAAGAACTATGGTTCTAATATAGCATACTATATAATTACATAGTATGTATATTATAATACACAACCATTTGAATATTTGTGGAAAGTTCATTGCGTAGAGAATAACGACAGATTAGAAAGAATGCTTGCGAAAATATGCAGGTTGAAATATGTGAAGTAACCAAGCTGCTATAATCATTAAATCACTAAGCATGAAAAACACAACGACACAAAAAACTCAAGCCAAACCTTAGCCAAGATCTGAAGACCCACATACTACATTTCCGCCATTCAATATCCAATTGCTTCGTAACGAACTTTCAGTTTCAGTTTCAGTTTTCAGTTTCATTTTGGGAAGGAGGCTCGATGACCTATGTTAGTCGTGACAATGGTGGTCTCTCAGTTGATCCAACTTTCTTTTGAAAGAGTCGACGGATGGAGCTTCAACCACGTGCTCAGGTAATGAATTCCACTCTTTGATGATTCGATGGGAAAGTCGATAGTCAGCTGACAAGTAATTTGTTCTCGGCTTGTGAACTTTTTTGGAGTGTCCTCGTAAATTCTCTGTTTTGGAAGACAAGAAAAATGAGGGCATGTTAGGTGCAAATTTATCACTAAGCAATTTGTAGACTGTAATCAAGTCGCCTCTAGTTCTGCGATATGACAACGGGAAAAGGTCCAGCTTGGTCATTCGAGATTCATACGGAAGCTTCGCTATTCCGGGAACCAGCTTAGTCGCCGTTCTCTGAACCTTGGATAAACAGACTGGTTCTTTTGAGCTCGCTCCCTGATATCATATTACAGTTACAATTGTTTGATATTGTACATTGTGGGTGATCTAGCCACCTCGTTTGAATGTTACTAGAAATTTCTGAAGTTATTCTGGGCTTGATATTCATTCAATGCGTTTGTTCTAAGGAGATGGAGGTGTTAGAACAATGAACTGTCAAACTGATGGGTGTGATATTGACATTTCTCAACACAAATGAATACAAGTTAGTGTTTAGAATGTAGAAAAGTGGGTAATATTCAGTAAGAATAAATAAGAAATTTGCGCAGACTGTGAAACATTGAGTATATTGTTTTCTTTCACCTTTACTAGAATTTGTGTAACAAATTATATTTCAGCATTGTCACCGAAAACATCTTAATCAGTAACACTTCTTACAATAAAAACGTGCCGACCCAATGAAATCAGAAGTCAGAAGCGAAGGGGTTCGAAGATATATTTGATAGAATACCGATTTATAAAGAAGTGACTAATCTAAGTTGGCTAGCGGTTGTAGAAATCAACCACGGTATCCTTATTCGTGATCTAGTACATATACGTGACCTAACAGCTTCAGCTAGGTGAGTCCATGAAAACCAATATGGTCGGCATCGACTTGCGGAGCTATTGATGTTGAGGATTTATTTATCGCTACTGCTAGGTTTCACAAAGCATGCATAGACCTAGAGTATCTGCTTACAACAGAATTGGTAATTCATATCTCGAGTGGTCGTTCGGCATATGAAACATAAATGTTTGCGATTTGCTGAGCAACATCATCATTATCTTGACTGGTCTACAAAAACATTTTCAGCGGCCCTGTACAAGACAGTCCTGAAGGGGATGAAAAAACAATGACGCGCAGTGATGCGAATTAAAGTCTGTGGAATTATGATCTACTTAGCTACTAGTACTATTGTAATAGCAAATCTAGTCCTAAAATTGCGAATTTGTCATGATGTGACTACCTAATCCTAAGATCATATATGGAAGTCATTTCTTTATCTACACTAACTCGACCTATCGTAAGAATCATCGATATGACTACCTACTTCTGGAGAATATATTTAGGCTAGAGATAGAACAATATAGTTAACATGAATAAAAGAGATAAGCTACACAAAAACGACCACACCTGCAAGGCTAAGCCATGCCATCAGACTGGACCTCGAATAAATATTCCTGCCTTCTCCATTGCTGACCTCTCTGTGTTAACTGTTGAATATACATTTTCATAGTTTTCTCCTGTTCAAATTTGAAGATTGTGTGGTTAGGTCCACTACCACTACAAGTCTTCGATAACATTAGTATTGATGAAAAATATCACTTTCCAAGATGTCCCAGAAAACATGGACCCTGATTATGCGGACTGTGATATTCTAGAGTGTAAATTAACATTGCAGATCTTGGAGCTCGTGAATAAATTGACTCAACAGGTGATGAGATGGGGATTGTAGACCCTGAATAATGAAGATTACTTCCTCATCTTCCCATATGGCGGCCGCCACTCTCGAAGCATTTTGTGACAACAGACGCCGGTTGCTAACTTAGATCCATATCCATCCGGACAGGCCACATGACGCAACTACCAAGCACAAAAGCAAGTTGGAACTGACTATTTCATTGTATATGAAGTGTACACCTAAGGGTCGATAAATGTCCATGAACTTGCATGGTCCTCAGTGAGAATGTATAACACCTCGAGGTGTCTAGTTGGAGTCATCTACATGAAGCTCACTGATGAAACCGAGTTTCACAATCGTATGCTGGAGAGATTATCCCGCTCTATCCGTCTCAGATGTATTCATATCCTGATTCAATGAGAGTCCAATCCCCCTGAAGTTAACTTCATTGAATACATACATTGAGGGTTTATTCAGTGAACTTTTAAGCTACAAGCTAGCAGCACGTTTCTCAATACCCTCAAAAGTTATGTAGCCCTTGACATACGATGGCCTACGTGAATACTCGTTGTCTATAAGCTTCTTTTCACCACAACAACATAGTTTCAGGGACGATTACTCGTATATAACCAACCTGCTGACTGCAGTGGACATATGGACAACCATCCTTGATAGAGAGGGAAAGGTTGGTGACACATACTTTGACTTCTCAAATGCTTTGGATACGGCCAATCATGTATATCTTATAAATAGTTTAAAACAATTAGGCATCAAATCACCACGACTTGATTGGTTCGCCTGATTTTTAAGTAGTCAGCTTTTAAGAGTTGTGCTTTTTCTCAGGCTACAAAATGTCCCAGTAGGGTCCCTCAAATTTCACTATTAAAATGTCTTCCTTTTCTTAACTTATAAAAAATAGCCTACCACATCAAGTATTGTCTGATTTACAACTTTTTGTTAACGACGTTAAACTTTTGAGAAGCTTACGCAATCAATATTTTAAGCTAGCACTACATGAGGATCTGACTCGACTTTATAGTTGAGTGTATAAAAAACGGACCCACTTTCAACGCTTCAAAGTTTTGTAAACAATTCCTCCTAAGATGTATCCTGAGTTGATGAAGATGCAGGGGTGTCGATAACCTATTATCCGAAGCCCTAAGCTGTGAAAAAATGCCTTCCGAGCAAACCTTGCACTAGTAAGGTTGAAGACCATTTTCGGTCAGTTCAGCCAAGGAACTCTTCAAATAACTTTCAACAGTTTTATTCGACCCCATTTAGAGTATGGAAATACAATGTTTCCTTCCTCACTCATGACGGATAGGAGTACACTGGGATGTATCCAGAGGTGAGCCATGAAATCAATTCTAGGACTCAGATTCAAACCGCTGTATGTTGAGTTTTTGGAGAGGCTGTGGCTTCAGGCAAGGTTGTCGGGCTGGCACACCTCTGAAGCTCGAAATAGTATCGTTTGACACTCTCGAAGATTGAATGTCAAACATTTCTTGTGAATTTATTTTTACAGTGTTGCTAAGTCTCTATGTAGCTCATATATATCATCCGAATATCTGACTGTTCCTCACATTTAAATATCGTCCGCACAAACGTATCAACACATATCACCCACAACAAAGTCGCGAATTCCGTCCTTAGAATAAATGAAGACACTACGCACCTTAAGACAAAGGATGATATAATACAATTACGACTAGATCAATTCTCAGGTGCTGTACCAATGAACACGTCCTAGTGCGGTGCTAGAATGAAGTCCCTTCCCAACAACATTTCAAGATTCGGAATTAATAAGAGCAACAAACACTCAACTGACTCACAAAAGCGCACAACGAGCACATTTTAGGACCTTCTAAAAATTATAGCTCCACTTACAGTTAACTCAGTTCCGGGTGATACCATTTGTCGCATATGTCATGCCTACCAAACATGTATAACAGTGATACATTGCTTAGCGGTATTTGTAAATGACCGATTAACCTTGAAACAAAGTTACACGCTGGCTAGCGGATAAGTTGAATTTAGTTCGTAAGCGATTAGAGACTTATACCTTGAAGGACACTTTCCAATCTTCTGACTATCCCAATCACATAAACACTACTGGTAAGTCAATTTTTTCAATTGATATAGCATCTTTGTCCATCAGAACACTACTTCGTGGAATAATAAACATAATGTGTGAGCCTTTACCTGCCTGTACCAGAGTTTGAACTCCAACAGCTTATTAAAAAAATAATCGGTTTCAATTTGACAATAATATATATTATCACGTAGGAATGAGAACCTCACTTGGTCCTTATCTAAGAGATACCTTCACTGTCGACCTTGAAAGGGCCAAGCCTATAGGAGATAGTGATGAAACAACGAATCATGTGAGATATATCAAATATGTTTTTAATTTATGTAATGACCAACGACAAGGGAAACAGCCGTTAAACCTGTGTATTGACACTCATAGAAATATCATATTCATCATGAGGCAGGAAAAAAAATGAAGAGTTCGAGATTCTCGATATGGGAGCAAGACACAATCCAACGTCCAGTTTATCGAAACGATACATGGAACAAAATTAAGCTGAATATAATAAAACGTTTGTTCATTAACTTACATTCACTTCCAGCTGCTATTCATTCTTTTGATGTTTGATTCCAATTCTCAACGCAGTGTGCTCTTTGTTCTTCCTCACTTTCGTTTCCCTTCAGGACTTCAAGTTAGTGCTAGCTTCGTGATGCAGTTTGGTGATTTCCGTAATGTATGTTCTATTCACTTCCAGCGTCTTTTCCTAATTTCCTCTTCAGATGGAACCTGGTTTGTTCTCTCCCACAGTATGCTATTGCTGATTGTATCCGGTCAACGGACATTGAGTATCTTACGTAGACAACTGTTTATAAATACTTGTATCTTTTTGACGATGGTTGTAGTAGTTCTCGAGATTTCAGCTTTGTACAGTAGAACTGATTGGGTGTTCGTATTGAAGATTCTGACTTTGATGTTGGTTGACTGTTGTTTTGAGTTTCATATGTTCTCAAATCGAGAGAATGCTGTCCTTGTTTTGCCAACCCGTGCTTCCACATCTGTATCAGATCCTCGTTGTTTATTAATGATGTTGCCCGGATACATGAAAGGTTCTACCCCTTCCTGAGCTTCTCCATCAAGTGTGATTGTGTTGGTGCTTATCCTGTTGTATTTGGAGATCTTGGTTTATTACTTGTGTGTGTTGAGGCCTATTGATGCAAATGCTTCTACCACACTGGTTGTCTTGACCTGCATTTGTACATGTGTATGAGATAGAAGAGCCATATCATCTGTAAAGTCCAAATCGTCTAGTGCCACCTAAGCTGTCCGTTATATTCCATGTTTCTCTTCATATGTGGAGGTCTTCATAACCCATTCAACCACCAGAAGAAGGAAAAAGAAAGAGAGTAAACAGCCTTGTTTGACCCCGGTCTTCATTTGGAATGCGTCTGTCAGCTGTCCTCCATGCACCACTTTGCACTGTAGTCTGTCATATGAATTTCGGATGATGTTGACGATTTTCTCAATTAAATCATCATGTCAAAGAAGGTCCCATAAGGTCCTTCTATCCACACTGTCAAACGCCTCATTTTCAAGGGAGTTGATGTATAGCGACGAGTCACATTCAATTGGTAGAGATCCATTCCTTATGATGATGCTTCTTGCGGCACAAAACCTTCTGACACGTTGAAGTTATTGCTTCTTTGTTCCCTTTTCAAATGTCCTTCATAGTGATTTCTTCTTCTTTGAGTAGATCCTGTAAGGCTTGGAACCTGTTGTTGAGAGCTATCTTGAATACTTTGAGTTTTTCAGTATTTCGAAGGAAGGCTGCATTGAACTTTTGTAAAGCTGATTGTCCAGTTGTCCATTGTTTCTTTAGCTTCGGTTTACTCTTGGCCAGAACTGGATGTTTATATCGGCTCTTCTCCTGGTTCTCACACCTTCCATTGACCCTCCGAATTTTTTAGTGATGCAAATATGACTGACCTTACTTTTTGTAGTGTGATTTAGTGAGATAAATGTAGCTCTGTCTATGTATTTGTGGGGGAATATTGTGCCAATAATTTGCAAATCTGTCATCATTCTGATTACTTCTTCTCAGACAGTTTATGTCATCTCATGGTATCTCCATATTTGGTGTTGTCCATCCTGTTTAAATCTTTTCTGAGCACTTTGCTATGATCGATTGCAGCCTCTTATAAAACTGATATTTATCGTCATCATTGCTATCATTCGTCGGTACATATCACTGGATGATGTTCTGCCAGGTTTGAAGCTATCCGAGTTCACTTAAAGTGCGAACGAGAACAAAGACTCGGTGACCAAAGACCAGCAATCTAGCTGTTGATGCGTCCCAGCCCCGCTAACTAGAGGGAGAAGTCCAAGCTTGGAATGGAAAGTATATTCCGCAAAACAGCCAGAAACGAGCTCTCACACAAAACAAAATCCAAACGTATATATATCAATTATATGTATATAATCGATATTTCCATGGAAGGTTTTCTAAAGATTTATTTGATGAGTTAGTCAATCGACTACCAGTGAAATATTTAAACATTTAATTGATAAGAATAGTTTAGTTAATTAACAATTATACGGTAAAATATACGTATAGTATTGGTCCACAAATGGATCCCAAAAATTAACACCCATTACTCTTATCGGAGCATAACATGTTCATTGTGATTCCCTTCTTCTTTGTTATGAAGGATTCTTTGATTATTCTGGGTCCATGAGATTCCAATCCTATAATTGTTTCACGTGCTTCTTTGGAAAGCATCAGAACAACTCCTTGAGTGTGGGGAGCATTTTCTTTTTTATAACCAGAGTACAATAGCATATCTCTTGAATCTCACGTTTTCTGTCCAGTTTGGGTTCAATGGGTTCGCTGATTCTGAGAACCACGAAGTTGTATCTCCTAATCTTTACAGCTATTTGACTGGTCCTTTGGGGCTCACACACTATCTGAATATTACATGTACTTATATCAATTATTGCTCCGGTTTTTATAAAGGTCATCAACCTTGTGACTTTCTTAGTACGTCGGCTTTAACCATGATGCTTCATAATTCCTCTGAATGAAGATCCTTCAACCTCCATGTCAGGGCTTAAATGGCTAAAATGACTTCTTTTTTCTGGTAAGCGTTTTTATAACAAGGTTGTTTTCTACGGTATGAGGTTGCTGATCTTATGGCAAACCCTCCTTCTTTGTCTGAGCTTGGGACCGTCAGTAGCCTTAGAAGAGCTACCGGTAGAGTTATCTAAGCAATATACAAATGAAATATTTAACTCAATGTAATTATTCGTAGTATAACACATCAACCTAATTATTTCCCATGTTAAATATAAAGTTAAGCGAAGTGACCTGACGAATATGATAGTAACTACATCCTTGAGAGATGGGACAATATTAATAAGCGATTGTGACTAGGTACTATAAACATCACATTGCATTAGACTAAATATGATTGGTCATTTAAGTAGGAACACTTGATACAATATATTAATTAGTCATTTTTCATAAACTGAATTAATTGCTTTCATGTTATATTTTTAGAGTCAAATTGCTCTTAGTTTTTGATTGAATTAAACAGAAGCCAAGAATCAAAAGGAACTTGGCTTTTCTGACAAATATTTAAATTCTCTATTTGATAGCAGTCTATCCATTTACTTTTACCAACTTGGCTTTAATCATCATCCATTATTACTTATATGATAATTTGGTTATTAGAAAATGATAAACGTGTTTTAAAATCTCATTAAGGTCTGAACATATTCTATGTTTACCGAGACTGTAGTAAATGATCGTCATGATATCTTAAGTTTTTTATGCGTGTGTAGAACTACTCTTTTGACCCACTTTTTATTTCTCTGAGTTCTAATAAAAGTTTCTAAGAAAATACACTTCTTTAACCTATTTTCGGGGTACGGCTAAGTTGAATAGTTGAATACATTGTTAATATTGTTGGTGGTGCTGGCAGACACAAAAACGAAGGTTCTTCAGTCTGTGCTACACGATGGTAAAGTAAGCCTATAGGTATGTTTCCTAATTGAAGTCATTTTCTAGCCTAATACATTTTCGCTCACTGTACATGGAAATATATCCAAATAGCATTATAGGTATTCTAGCTACATGGATGAAAACAGAATTTTACGAATGAAACCCTTTTAGTCTCTGAATTAACAGCTTACACGTTTAACTGTTAAGTTGAATCAATCATTAGGAGGTTTAGTAGTTCACTTAGTTTCGTTTCAATATCCATTGATCATTTTGGAAACGATAATTTATCTCCCTCTACAAGACATACGATGAGTGGTCCTGATAATCAGACCGTGATTTTATAAATTTACGAATGAACCATAAAACACAATAACTTTTACCGCTTTAAATTTTAATTTTATACATAATTCTGTAGTTTTTTCTAATGGATTGTTCGATCTTACAGTAACCATTCACAAAGTGATTCGTCAATAGTTCAGATTTGCGAGCAGTTACTGTAGTGAACGAGAACACCGGTGGGGACAATCGGATTTATTTAGCACAGAAATTACAGATTATCTAAATAAAATCTGAATACCATAAAGTCAATCGTCAATTTGCAAAATATCAATGCATTATATCAAACTGAACTGTTTCCGTTGCAAACAGTAATCCATTGTCCCCCATTCCATTGTACATGCGTTTTCTTACAAATTTCACTGTGTTCTCGCTCTACCTTTCTTGATCTTCGCCATCTTCTGCTGCCGGACATTACGTTCTTTTAACGCACGTTATATACTACTTATACCAATATAAGTAGCACACACCACATTACCACTTAGTTACACTGATCATATAAAGTCAAGTAATCGATCTCAATCAACACAGATCATGGAGCCATTTGTTCATCATAGATTCATACAAATAAATTTCACCAAATTTTATATTCTCTAGGTATTTAACGAATTACACAAAGTTTGATAGTGAAAAACTATTTAATGTCGGTTCATGAAACCAGTTTTACTACGTTTTGTGTTAATAGATTTATTGTTAATCACTCTTTTTACAGGTCACCTAATGTGACTTGAAAAGAATAACATAAACACGAGATTTATATGTATAATCAGGAAACAAATCTAGGGTTTAAAGGCCTAACTAAAATCAGTCCGAAGATCTGAATAGGAGTGTAAAAATAACGTACACCAAGTAAGGGTTTAAAGCAGGAAATAGATGAATTTATGTGCTAGGGCACAAATAGTCATTCCATTTAGCCATTAGCCTAGATTTTGATGTTCTTATGTCAAGAACTGTTAAAATTACGTTTAGACTAACACATGAGTACACAAATTTAAGTTGTCAAGCGTTTCTGAAGTACGTAAAGGGAAGATAAACCAGAAGTATGACATTCTAAGATGACCTAGGGGAGAAAACACTCAAATGTTCATAATAATTAGATGTGAGATTGCCAGTGACAGCATGTGAAGCTTAATATTTTTCGTCATAGTACCGCTACAAATATTCAATATAGAAAATATCACAAAAAATTCAGTCCTGCATAAAATGTGGTTTGTTTACTCAATACATTTTAAATAATCAGGTCACACGTATAATATGTTAAGGCACTTATATATAGAAGCTAATTAAAGTTATATAATTGTAAATTTAAAATTGAAGTTATAAAAGAGATTGCGATGATATAAAATGAAAGAAATAAGAGTTTGTCACAACACTCTATACACTAAAGTTTACTAGATCAAGTTTGAGGTCAGAACAAGTTACTTTTGTTCACATGAAGCTGGCTTGGAGTTTCTAATGTCCAAGGCTTCCGTAGAATTAAGAATGTTCTTCGACAACCTCTGTATAAAGGCTTAATCCTCTGGTCCGTTTCACTCATGAGTTGGACTAACAAAAGTATGGTTTCCTAACTGATTCCAAAATCATTTACGCACATGTTTCACCACCCAACTGTGTCGTCCGACTCCTCTTTCATATGTGTATGTGCACATATATGTGAGTCGGTAAATGTAATGGGAACTAATGTATTCATTAATGAGTTATTAAGGCATATATATATATATATATATATATATATATATATATATATATATATATATATATATATATATATATGAAATTATTTTCATCAATCATAATCATTTTGAAGAGACTGAGAGCAATAATTTGAGCAGAATAACATAAATTTATTTTATTTCTTCAGATTTTCATCAGCTCACAATATTTAATGTTACAAAAACAAAATTTCAGATAAAGTCAAATACACTTATAATAGTAAAGTAGGTTGGAATTTAGCGTGAAAAAAATATCAGCAAAGTGTGGTAAACATTAAAATAAAATTGAATAGTCCGGATAGAATATTGTAATTATACGTAAGATGTCAAAGAAGGTTCTAGAACACTGATGAGCATAGTAACAAAAGATTATAAGGTGAAAATGAGTGATCACATGATGAACTGACGAAATAAAAGTCAGCGGCAAAAAAAGAATATAAGTTCAGTCAACTAAAAGAATGTTATAATAACGCTATTAAACGTAAGACTATCATACGGACAAATTTGATTCCCAAAATAAATTAAAATGATATATGAATACACTACTATGATAATTAGACGAATTCAAATTATTGTACTAACTAGGAATTCTCAAATTAGTGCAATTTACAGAAAGTAGAACTAGATGAGCACCAATGAACGTACTATATTTGGCATTCGTAATATGCTGCTCGTCAGGTACAAAAGAATCATTAATTCATACAAATAAAACTACCTTTTATGCTATTTACTTAGTCAGATTGACAGTTCGATTCGTTTATTTGAACTGACTAATTTTTAACAGTGATGAGTCAATAAATTATACTACATAAACATATTTACAATATCATACAGTTCAACATATGTAACTAACAGATATAACTAATTGACTAAGTCGAACAATTACTCCTTTTCAGAAAATAATCTCATATCACAGACGCTCAATTTCGTATTTGGATCACACTCCAGTTGATGAAGTAATCAGTTTTCATATCAATGACTTCTGGAAAAAATGATGTAATAAAATAAGATTAAAGAAAGACTGAAAACACTTTTCGAATTAATAAGTCAGGTTTCAAGGGTTTAATGGTATTGGCGTAGGAGAACTTTGGAAGATCAGGGATTGCTTCTTCATCAGACAATGAAAGACTTTAGGGCATTTACCTGATATCCTATGTCTCAGTAATGCTTGGAAATCTCACTGTTGACGTTTTTACTTATTTTAAGCAGAACATCTCAGAATACGTTTATAGAATCTTAGGTAGACCTTTCTTTTATTCTATCACTGTAATCATGTTGGCACATACACGTTAATTTATAAAAACAGTAACATGAGAAGGGTACTTGTCAATTGCTTAAGAAAAAATATATATATGAAAGTTATGTTTGGCCTTAGAACTATGCATCAGTTAGCCAATCATAAATTTTGACACGGGGATCTTAAAAATTAAATCCAGAACAGTTTCTTTTTCAAAAGCAGAGTTCTATAAATGATTAATTTTTTACGGACTTATACTGGTTAATGGGAAATGAATTTTCATAATTATCCTTAATAACAGATCCGCCAGCTTCCATTCAGAAGTATTCTTTGCTTCAGCAGTCACCGAACTTTGAAAATCCATAAATTTAATATGGCAGAATAAAGAAATGTGTAAGAACGCAGATATTGAATGAATAAGAAGTTTAGTTGGTTTGTTCCCTGCTTTGCTACAGTGTTCTACATGAGATTTTGTAGGGTGAATACGGCTAGAAACATTTAGTTTCCATTTTTGGACCTTAAATATTTCTAAAATGTAATGGGAAATGTGTGGTTGGTTACTCAGGAATTGTATTGCTCAAATATATCACCATCTTTAGAACAACTCCATTTTCTTATCGCTATCGAGAAAGGGACTAGTCATTTAGAATCCAACTATTTACAGACAATTTTCCTCACTAACTGATATCACCTTCCGAATCAAAGAGCACGCATCATCCGTTTCGTCTTAGGTTGGAACTCGTCAGCAGTAATCACCATCAATTTGAAAAACACTATAAACAACAAAACGAGAGTTATGTATTACGCTTTTGTTGTATTTTTTTTTAGAAAATGATAAGAACTATCAATGGTTTTATGAAAGTCTTACAATTAAATTGATACTTCTGAAATCGATTAAATTAGTGACTATTGAATAAAGCAGTGAACTGGATCAATGAGAGAATTTTTCACAGTTCATAAAGGTGTATTGTTCAGATAAAGCCAATGGGAAGATAAGACATTTGTACACGTCAGTAAAGAAACGAATCGCTTCCATCATTGTAATGATGATTAGAATAATTTCCTTGGACTGCTTCATTTCAGTTTTGATTTATTGGTTTTATCATCTTTATTTAATCTGCTCATCAGCCTATCCTATAATTGGACTGGGAAAAAGTGTGAAATTTTGTCGATAGAAATTTAAAATGCGTACTAACTAGAGACTAGTTTCATGTTTTGAGTCGCTATGTCAGTTTATCGTGTTCAGGTACAAATTGGAGGTTAATATTATTATCCTATTTATAATATTAATCGTGAAATCAACCGACTATTGAGTTTTCATATATACCGACTAGAGGCAACTGCTAAATAATTTGATTACTTCGTTTCCTTAAACCAATCACATTTCCTAACGATAAGACAAAACGATAGAACTCTTAGTATTCTCCACTAATGTGTGACATAGAAGTTGACTGTTCAGCTGAAACGGTGAAAAGAAAGTTAGTCATTTGAGGGAATAAATCGTAACAGAAGAGGAAAACAATGTATGTCTTTAGAGTGGGGATAGACACTGATTTTGTGAACCTAACTTATGCACCATCTAAAAAGGTTCTGAAATTGCCACAAATATTTTTTACTCGACTTTTGTACAAATTTCCATTAGTCTTACGTATAATGATGTATTTTTAATAATTACGTTTTAGTGTCCTAGTATCACCATGCCAAAAAATCTTATTCTTAGTTTATTAATGTAATCGGCTAATTTCCATTCAACTGAATCTATTTCTAATGGGAAAATGAAACATTTTCGACGAAGGGAGAGTAAGTTTGACAGAAATTAGACAGAATCCGCTGTCGCTAACAGTAGGATTTATATCTCCTTCATATGATGTCAAAAGACGTTGTGAACAAACACTAACAATATCATAATTACTAATATGTCTAGATATATTTGTAATAATTTCATCTGAAACATAATGGTGTTATCGAAAATCAATCAGTTTAACCTCTGGTAACTTGAGAAGTTATACAGAATGTAATCGAACAGTTACGCTTAGAATCATTCACACGCATTAGGTATTATGACTAGGAAAAGAAACAAATAAGAAAATTATTGAAAGATGAGAACTGAGCTTATGTGAACAAAAAGATCAAGAGTTTTTTTTCCAAAATGATATACTTAATGGCT